GTGTAGAGTAGCGCTTGTTGTTTGTCATTTCTCCGATCACAACATGGTTTTATGTTTAAGTGTGTGAAGTGTTTCAGAAAGGCGGGGCATAGAGGAGAAACAATAATGTACAGTATGTGGAAAATAATGTGTTTTTTTAACCTTAAACTGCATAAACACATTTCATTACACCAAATACACAAAATAATATTATTTTTAGCAACATCATATGACCCCTTTAAATTATGGATGTCAAATGTAGTGGTACTTCAGTACCAAGCAAATTAAATTTCTCAAAATCTTGCCAAGGTATTAATGTAAACATAATGTATGTCCACAGTGAATGTAAATAGATGCGACAAAAATAAAAATAGAAATTAAAAATAAATTATGCAGCTGAATAGACCTAACACTGTCACTAATACTAATGTAAAAAGTACATAAGAGTAAATAACCACTGTTATACGACTGCTTTTAAATATCTGAAAAACTTCATGCAATGTTTACTTAATTTTTGCTGTTGCTTTTTGATTTATATTTCAACTACTCTTCTAATTTATAAATTATAAATAATTTATATTTTTAAAAATGTTTATTGTTAAACACAGTTTGCTTTCCTTGAATAATTAAATACTTGAACCAATGCTTACACTGATAAATACTCAATTGGCATATATATATATACAGTATATATATATATACAGATGTATTTCTGAAATACAAAGTAACTGTCAGTCTACAGTCATGAAACGTTTCTGAAGGATCCTGCTTGCGTTCTTGTGTGGATTACACTGGGTGAGATGAAGTGAAAAGATTGGTGTGTCTTTAAACATCACTGCCCCCATACTGATCAAAGGGCCAAACCCTTTAGACTTTATTTTTAAAATCTCCCCGTAAACAAGGCCTGGTTGCTTATCACGTGGGATGGCATGAAAATGAAAGCTTTGAAATAACAGTTTGTCAGTTCTGACAGGCTGTATTCCCTGGTGTTTTGATCCAATCTGATAGGCGCACCATGCTAATGGCCATAACCGAAGCTGTGACTCAAAGATGCGGCTCAGAGGCCTGTACTTCCACTCGATTGAACCGACCCACAGGTGAAGTGAGCACTAATGTGAGACGTGAGGTAAAGGTTATCCTATAAGCTTTCAAGAAACTTTTCACATTTCTTCTCTTTCCTCCCCCTCAGCCAGCTGTCTTCTCTCCATAGATGCACTGAGGCTGGTGGCCATATGTTGGCTCTCTGACTAGCCCCAGGCATTTGGAGAACAGTAGGAAGACGAGTGGAGAACACAGCACTCAAATCTGCATTACTAGTGCAGAGAGAGACTGCAGCACTGTCTCAACAGCACTATATAGAGTGAATGCAACTTCCAACGAAGGATTACGACATCAAACAGTTCTCTGAGCCTACTGATTTATTAAAATTCAACGTCAAAGTTTGCATTGTTGTGGATAATCTCTCATTTAATGTTTTTACTGACAAGTATTGGTTTTTCCAATCAAACTGCCAGTGTGAAAATTCCATGAGAGACTCTGTCAAACTTAAACCCTGTTCACAGTGACAGCAACCTGCAGACACAGCAACCAGATGTCATTCATTTTCAGTAAGAATTGTTGACTTTCAGCGACTAGTGTCCAGTGACTTTCAGTGGAGCTTTGAGGATTGGTTTCTTGTGTAGTCGAGTGTCAGGAACACAGATGCTACTGTCAACAATTAACTGTTCTATACCTGACCTGCATTTTGTAAAATGCAATGAAATACTTTCGAAAGGCACTTTGTATGTGCATGTTTATGTTATATACATACACATACACATACACACAAAGTGCCTTTCGAAAGAATTTCATAGTTTTATCACATTTTGTTATGTTGCAACCTTATGTTAAAGGCCCATAAAAACATGGTTGGATGAGTTTGGTGTGGAAGAACTTGACTAGCCTGCACAGAGCCCTGATCCCAACCCCACTGAACACCTTTAGGATGAACTGGAATGGAGATTGCGAGCCAGGCCTTCTCATCCAACATCAGTGCCTGACCTCACAAATACTCTGTTGGATGAATGGGCAAAATTTCCAGTGATGTATAGTAACGAAGTTCGGTACCTTAAGTACAGTTTTGGATATCTGTACTTTACTCAAGTATAAATATTTTTGCTGAAAATTGATTATTTTACTACGATACATTTCTCCTGACCCTTTCGTTACATTTGTGACTGCAAAGTGCCAAAAACAATATCCAGTTTGTGAATGAATCTTTTGATTCAATTCAGTTCCTTTGAATTTGTCAGACTGGTTCACGAAGAGGTGTACATTGTTGTGTGATTACATGATAGATGATGTATTTTTGTTAGTTATACTAGATAATATAATATAATATAATTTCATAATAAAATTCACATAATTTGAAAGCTGAGACTTTGTTTTAAACATAAAACATTCACAAATCATTTTATCAGCATCTTTCCATAAACAGCTCTGTGACATGCAACTCAGAATGATAAAGCACGTCACATATTATTATTTCTACCTGCATACTATACATCGATATGATAAAAAATAAATTGTGGAAAACCGTGCCAGAAATTGTCTGCATTCTGAGTGAGTTAGATTCACACATTGATAATCGTTCATCTTGTTCATGATATGATGCATTATGCAGCGCTGCTATATTCAAATGCTTCACCCTGCAGAAATAAATCTGATTCCTTATCAAAACAGACTGACATCTTAATTTAACGGCAATACATTTGTTACCAGATCTTTAACAGCAGCTATGCAGCCCACCAATAACATCCAGAAACAACAGAAACACATACTAGCGACCCACAGCATGACTCTCAGTACAAACGGGTCTTTACAATCACATTTAAACTAGGGCAAAATATTTTTAAGAACAGACAGGCTTCACCAACAGGTTTAATAGTAAACAAAAGCCTTGCATTTTCGAGACACTGTGGGCATATTTTATAAAGATGTCAACTGTGGTGAAATCAAACTGGGGTCTGATGCTGAGGGTGGATTACTGATCACTGGGGTTCAGATGAAAGAAAATCCCAGAGCAAAAGCAGACACAGGTCACACTGTTCACACATCCTGCCTGACATCTGGATCATTGTTGGTCACTTGAAATATCACAATCAAACTCTTGTTTGCAATATATTTTCAAATCTCAGCTTGTATACATTTTTTAAGATACTCAATGTAAACATATTTGTTTTAAGATACTCAATTTTCCATTTCATATGTTTCACAATAACATGGTAGGCTACTTTCAGAGCACATGCAAAGATTTACTCTTCCTGTATACATCAGATTAAATCAATCAGATTTACTCAATCATTCAGTTTCCCATTACCGCTGTTATTGCCTCACGGTGCTAATAAAAAGCAAATCAGACACATCCTGTCAGGGCTTCTGAGGATAAACATGTTGTGACCCACAGAAAAAACAACAAATGAATATTGATTCTTCCTCTGGCAACCTCCTTGATACATGATAGAGAGTTCTATGTACTGTAATAGTGAGCTGCAAGATGAACGATAGAATGAACGATAGAATGAACGATAGATAGATAGATAGATAGATAGATAGAACTAAAGAACGATAGGTAGATAGAACGAAAGAACAATAGATAGATAAAACGAAAGAATGATGGATGGATGGAACAACAGATAGAACGATAGATAGATCGATAGAACAATAGAACGATCGATAGAACGATAGATAGATAAAACGAAAGAATGATGGATGGGTGGAACGACAGATAGAACGATAGATAGAATGATAGATAGATAGAACGATAGATAGAACGATAGAGAGAGAGAGAGAGAGAGAAAGAGAGAGATAGACAGACAGACAGACCAATAGACAGATATATAATGTTTTTGCAGGCTGACCTGTGCTGCTCTGGATGGTTCTGACAGTTGTGGTGGTCCTCGGGGGGGAAGCTGGGAGCAAAGGCCCGTCGTCGTCCTGCGAGCAGCCCTGGTCGATGGCACGCACGTAACTGTGACTCCTCATGCGGAAGCACCCGGGCATGGGAAGGTCCAGGGCGTCCACTGCCTGTGACTCCATTTCACTGAACATACTCTCACACACTGCCTCGAGCTGCCCGTTAACCTCAACCTCACTCACCTGCAGACAGAGGAGAGATACAGAGAGAGAAAATACAAGAAATGAAAATAAGAGAAAAGAACAGTCAGGAGAAACAGACAGGCCAGAGCTTAGGGAAAAGAGCGGGTACCGTCCGTCCAATGAGCTTCAAGACCCACTTACCATGGGGTACTCTATATAGTGGTGCAGAATCAAAAGAAAGGGAAAAAACAGAGCCAGAGACTGCAGAGATGTCATTAGGAGCAGGTAAGAAACACACAAGGCAGTGGTAAGAGGAAGAGTCAAAAAAAGAAACACAGTGAGGCTTGAAGGACAGCTTTACAGGGTAAATGAAGGTGCACGCCACACCAGCAGGGAGAAACTCTTCAAGTGGAGTTTATTGACATGGTGGAAGACAGTGAGACAGTGCCAGGATCAACATGCTTATTAGAGTTGTTCATAACAGAAACCGAGGGTGGACGAGAACAGGGGGTTAATGAAGACGTGATATGGTAGAAGTGTGGAAAGATGAGGTTTGTAGAAAGGGTGGGTGTTTTGGACAAGGTCTGCAGCTTGAAACTCTGTCCCAATCACCCATGAGAGCTAGATGGGCATATTCTTATTTACTAACTGTGAAGTTAAGAGTCTTGTGCCATCTACAAAGTCTATATAGGAAGGTCTAAAGCATTTTAAATGCTAATAATTCAGTACATTCCTTGCATATTTAGTTTTTTGGTCTTCCATCAGATAGCACATGCCATTTCAGAGTCAATGTTGGTGCCAAATGACAATGATGTAATGCTTGCCATTTTGTAATTAGGATGACAAATCAGTGCTTGGGGACTAAGTGTGCCTAAGACGGATGAGTAACTGTCTGATGAATGCCATCCCTGTTCTATGAAACATGGAGCATATTAGTTGGTTAGACATACAGTATACATCTGTGACTGAACAATGTTTATGGTGATGGCCCGAAATCATTTCACTGGTGGATGAATAGCAGGTTGGTTTCATGGTTTTTAACTGGATTTGTTGGAATAATCTGGACTGATTTTGACCTTCCTCACCCTGCACTATTCTATTCTATGACGGTGTGTTTGGGGGTGAGCACAAACCTGGCTGATGGTGCTCATAGCCCTCATGTAGCTCTCGTTGCGTGAGCGGTATTGGGGAGAGGCTAGCAGAGCTTTGGGGTCCAGGGTGTCCATGCTCCTATTGATGGAAACTTCACTCACCGCCCGCAAGTAGCTGTGACTCCGGATCTGCAGCTTTGGAGAGTGTTCTGTGGAGATACTGTGCATGGAGGAGAAAACAAGGGATTTTTATTTATTTGCTGAGAGAGAGCATTTTAGTACTTCCCTGTATACACACACACACACACATCTAATTAAAATAGATAAATAAATATAATTATATAATATATAATTTTTTAAAATTAATTTTTATATTACATTATTATATAAAATGTTACACGAAAATGAAGATTACATTTTTCACAACATTTTTTTACTCTAGTATTTTTTTATTTAATATTAAAGGCAGGGTATGTGATTTTTCAAAAACACTTTAGAAAACTGATTCGGGCCGAATCGCAAAACAAACTTGTAGCCAATCAGCAATAAGGGGCGTGTCTACTTGTGATGTGGAGGAGAGAGCTTTCAGTGCATGGGACGGACATTAGCCGAGCCGAGCGACAGAAAGATAGAGATGGCGGATAAAAAAACAAAAGAGGAAAACGTCTGCGGAAAGATAAGGCAAGAAGTAGGACCCGTGAAAATATCGGATCAGCTTTCCAGCGCTGGAGAGAACTCAAGGAGCGGAGGCCTGCGATCGGACGCCGAGGTTGCTATGTTTCTTCTCAGTAGGTGAGTAACACCGTGTCTACAACAGCTAAAGTCTGACTACACTGGACGCGATCAAACGACCGTTGAAAACCATTTGAAATTTGTGTCAGCACGTCATAAATAGAACCCGGCAGCAGTTTTCTGTCGGGATTTGTTGCGCCGCGCCGCTCACGTCCGTAGACACGGTGTAACATTGGTTTTGCTTTGTTTCACAGAACTAATCGTTGCCTGGGTTGCGTACGTATATGTGGGGCAGAGCTATCAAAATAGGGGCAAGACCCTTTTGGGGTAGGGGCGTGTTTGTTTTGGTGATTTCAAATATCAACATTGGCTACCAGAAATCACTTACTCTGCCTTTAAAAAGTAATATTAATATTATTAATATTAATATTACTTTTAAATATTAAATAAAAAATATTAACATAATGAGCGAAGTCATTATATTTTAAACATTTTGTAATATTGACAAAATAATAATAATAATAATAATAATAAATTGATTGATTCATATTTTTACAAATGTATTGAATTAATATAATATATTATTCATATATTATAACCTAATTATTTGGTTACATTTATGGTACCTCTAAAAAGTTTGTGTAAGCACATTCTATTAATTTATATTTGTCATACCTGTTATATCAAAATCAATGGAAGTAATAATAATATATTTTATATTTTGTGCAGCATTTTTTAGATTTTTGGCAAAGACACTTTTAAATGAAGACGCTTTGGTCATTCTTCTCTAGATAGCATGATGCAAACTGAGAGCCACATATAATTTCCTGCAATCAAATGTGTGGCATGTTCTTTGACGTCATGAGCATTAAAAGCATTTGGATGCCACGCTCCTCGTCAAGGTTCCTTCATCAAGGCGCGTGGGGGGGCTATGAGCAAATCAAAAGCTCATGCAAGACCTCTGCATGTGTCCAGTGCACAGCAGCCTGCATTATGGATGTGGCTGTTTAAATAGATAAAGGGGTGGCTCCATCAGGTCACTCAGGCATAAAGCAGGTAGGGCGAGTGCAGCACACGGGCAAGGAGAGAATCAGCTAAACTCACTTAAGGCCGCCCACGCAGCCCAGCACGCACATGCCCGACAATTACGCTGACACTTTGCTGACAAGCAGACACCTTGCATCCGTATCAGCAGTATGGGAATTAGTGGAAGCTCCAGCATTGGCGTAGATCTCCCACCCTCCATCTGCATGGCTTCACACATACATAATAAGTGAACACAGCAACTCCTCACGGAGCGGTACGGTCCAAAACGCCCCAGGGCATCTCCCTACACTACTGGAGAACAGAATGGCTAAACTTCACAAGAAGCACTCAGGGGAGCTGCATCCCCCATGGTGAACCTGGATTTGGGGAACTGGTTATGCATGATGTCATCGTTGCGGAATAAGCCGATAAGTTTCCGCCTCACTGTCGCGGTCGTCTCAACGGATTGGTCGCTGTGCGGTTGTTAATTTCGTCAGCCATTCACAATGCAGCGCTGTGCCTCACGTACTTTCTGCTGCAGTGGCAGCTCCCCGAGGCATCTAAGACGGTCTATTTTCATGCTTCACAAAGATACAGAGTTGAATCTGATGACTAATGCACATGTGAGTTATTCGGTCTTCTGGGCTATAAAATAAGTAGCTCCACTCCTACTTAATGTAAAGAACAAGCTTGATAAATATAGACATCAAACACTCACTTAGTATTATTAAACATTAAACAGACAATGTTAAAGGTCAAAGCACTGTCCCCTGGCATATAATCAGGGCATTAGTTGGTTGGAAGGATTGTGACTGTATTCTAAAGCAAACAAACCTCCCTTGCACATGCAGATGTAACACTGGCATTTGAAGCTTTTCTTTGTCAATAAACAGATAAAACCATCAAAATGCGGGATTGAGGAAATTCCACAAGATGAAATATTTATGAGCGTGCATAATGCCAGAACAGTATTACAAATCTGCAAATCCTCCAATCCTTGTCTGGGCTTTCCAGTGCGCTTAGGGTGGAATCTCAGAGCACTTTCGTAGCGCTTGAGCAGATAGGAATCTGAAATTGAAGCAAATAAATTACACTGCTGTCTTGTCAATCCTACATGTCAGACAGTGTTAATCTCACCAACGAAATTATTGAAGAAAATGTTATCAAAGGTTTGTTGGTTTTACCACTGATGAAAGTGAGATGAACAGTTTGTATCATGATAAGTATAGACTTTAAGATAGTATTAGATTTTGAATAAAAACATACAGTTGACAAGTTATATATACATACACACACACACACACACACACACACACACACACACACACACACAGGATATTACCTACCACCTCCATGCTTTACCGAATGCTGTTATTTGGATGGTGAGCTGTATTGGATTTCGGCCATACATATCGTTTGGTGTTGAGGCCAAATAATTCCGTTTTAGTCTCATCTGCCTCACAATCTTCAAGGTGCGTTTTGGCAAAGCTCAGTTGTGACTGCATGTGGCCTTTCTTGAGGAGTGGATTTTTTCTTGCAACCCTCCCATACAAGCCACATTAGTGGAGAATTTGTGATATTGTTGTCACATGCACACAATGACCACTCTTTGTCATAAATTGCGCTTGAGCAGATAGGAATCTGAAATTGAAGCAAATAAATTACACTGCTGTCTTGTCAATCCTACATGTCAGACAGTGTTAATCTCACCAACGAAATTATTGAAGAAAATGTTATCAAAGGTTTGTTGGTTTTACCACTGATGAAAGTGAGATGAACAGTTTGTATCATGATAAGTATAGACTTTAAGATAGTATTAGATTTTGAATAAAAACATACAGTTGACAAGTTATATATACATACACACACACACACACACACACACACACACACACACACACAGGGTATAGAAAAGAATCGATTATTTTTAAAATAATCACATTTTGTTGCTTTGCAGCCTGAAATGAAGATTTTTTACCAAAAACTGTGAAGACACAGTTTTTGTTTTATCCAGCTGTATTTATTTGCAATTTATAACATCCAAGTGAGAGATAGAACACCAACATGTCAGAAGAAAAAAAAAAGATCACTTTCTTGTGTCAGTATTTTGTTGAACCACCTTTTGTTTTAATTACAGTCTTTAGTCTGTTGGGATATGTCTCTGTCTCTACTAACTTTGCACATCTAGAATTTGCAATATTTGCCCACTCGTCTTTGCAGAACTGCTCAAGTTCAGTTCAATTTGATGGTGACCGTTTGTGGTCTGCAGTCTTCAAGTCATTCCACAGATTTTCAATGGAGTTTCAGTCGGAATTTTTACTTTACAAATTACAGACATGGCCGATTCGCACGTGCGAATAGGGCTTTTGTCATAAATTCCTGCAGCTGCTTCAGAGTTGCTGTAGGCCTATTTGTAGCCTCTCTGACCAGTTTTCTCCTGGCTCTTTCATGCAGTGTGAAGCGACGTCCTGATCCAGGGAGGGTCTGTGTTGTACCAAATACCTTCCACTTCTTAATAATAGACACTGTGCTTCTAGGCATTGATAAAGACTTTGAATTTTTTTTGTATCCATCTCCTGACTTGTGCCTGTCCACAACTTCATCCCGGAGATCTTTTGACAGTGCCTTGCCAACCATAGTTCATTGTTTGCTTCAGTTGCTACCAAGGACTGAGACACTCTAGGAAAGCTCTTTTAATGCGGAGATAATCAAAATGACCACAGCTGATCACAGTTGAAAGCCAAATGGCTTTGTGTGCCATTGAGAAGGTGATTAGCTAAACCTAATTGAGTTTACAAGCCATTTTTAGAAGGGAGGTTGTCCTTTTTCCAATTCAGTGATTCTGTTTTTATTTTATTTTTCTGACATACTGGTGTTACATCTTTCACTTGGATGTTATAAGTTGCACTAAGTAAATACAAATTAGATGCCATTTTACTGAGTAAAAATGTGAACACATTTTGAGTATGAAATTATGAAATACTGACTAAATTCATTGGATATTTGTCAAAAGTTATCACTGTATATCAGACTCCAGAAATACGCAAGGAATGAGAACAGATACAATAATGAGAACAAACAATTAATTTAATTGACTCAGCCCACCTACAGACCATTTGAGCCAACCTCTTTAGACGTATTACAGCACACATCTGTTACTATGACAACCCCACAATGACTACGTTTACATGGACATCAGTAATCTAATTATTTATCTTATTCTAAATAAGCCAATATTATGATTATGGTGTTTACATGAGTGGCTTTTAGAATATTCCTTTCATGTTCTCGTTTTACATGTTATAGTACATAGTTCGATTAATGGCACACGTCATTACGCCCCACGTGACGCCATCCGACGTCCCCTTCGGAATTTCACCCATAAACATATAGTTTGTCTTCGTGATGATGCCATGTACAGTTTTGGGTGTTTCATTTTTAATTTTATGAAAGCTTCAAATG